TTTTTTTTACTCATTTTGCGAGCTCCCGCGTTTTGTTTTGAAGTAATCGGTCACGTGATGGAGAAGCGTGTTTGATGTGTGTCAAGCGTGACACAGACGGATGTAACGGAGAATCCGGTAATTTTTCAAAATAAAATATCTTTCGTATTCCGAAATAAATAAAACGGAATTAAGGCAAGTTCTTTCTGTGCGGCCCGGTACCAAATGCCCGGCGGACCGGTACCGGTCCGCGGACCGGCGGTTGGGGACCCCTGGTGTACAGTATGTGCCTAATGAGGACAAGTGCAATAAATAATGTGAGCAAAACATTTTGGTTGTGCGGTCATGCATGACCATGTAAAGGGTTGCAAAAGGTCATTGAAGTCAATTGTCTTGTCGCCTTTTTCAAAATGCATTGAGATTCATTTTTACTTTAGAGAGGGCTTTGTCGTAAATCATGATGGTTTTGTAGCCAGAGACAGGATGACAGTGTTAGTCTGAACGGCACACATAAGTAGTCTGTCTTGAAACACATTGATGGATTGAGATGACAGAATGTCCTTGTATTGAATCGTGTAATCGCAGTGGCGTCTATGCTCTTTGCAGCAATGTTAAATGTCCTTTTCAAAGCACTCAGGCCGTCCTCATAGTGACACATAATTAAAACTGGTCGCATTTAATGGCGACAGTACGTGATGCTGGGTGACTTTCATTATAAATTGTACGTGACTTTAAAAAAAAAAAAAACCTATGCATGCAGTTATGATTCATACATTTCAATGAAAAACACACTGACAAGTGGGGACACAAAAGTGTGGTCTCACACAGGCAAGGCCGAAGAAGACGAAATCGTCAATGGTTTATTGACGTCAAATTGTGAGCCACGATCTCCGTTTTTATTGACAATACGCAGCAGTGTGTGTCAATTTCCAGACCGGGGCCCTCTTCAGATTATCATTTTTGTTTGACGACAGCAATATTTAAAGAAAATGAGCACCCGTGAAGTTTTCAGACTATGTGAAGGCACCCGAACGTTTGATGCTACAAAATAAGACGTAATGGCATGTCTTCACAGGGCATGCCATTATTTTTGATACTTAATGCTTAAACGTTTTATTCAGGGAATCGGATGCCAATGTTGTCATGCGGTCTCTTATCAATTATGGGCCATATTCTTATGTTCATGCGTAAGTCTTTTTTTTTTTCTAGGTGCGTGGCTTTTGCACTTTCAAGGTACGTGAATTAATTATCCCGTAATTACTTTCTGCCACAGCCATCGAATTTGTGAGCCGTGAATCACTGGGCCTCATCAAAGTGAAATTAGAGAAGGTGGCACTCAAAGCATGCATGGAAACAAGAAATTAAAGACCCTGAAAAGTGAATTTGGGGATATGTTTCGAAATACACGATTGCTGAAAGGCTGAGAACTTTGTAGTCCTGAATTGGGGGGATAGCATGAACCTCTTTTGCATGATCTCAGTTGTGTCGATTTGTGAGGGGCGTGTCCAACTCCAAGTAAGCACTTGGACTTTTGAGAAATTAGACAGCTGGAAATGGAGTCTGTATTTCTGTGTGTTAAAGCTCATGTGCATTTTTGGTAAGATGTTGATATGTTGATATGATGAGAGATGTTCCAGGCTTTAAGGGGATATACTTTAGCATACATATAGGGAGGTATAAACATATGCTAGCA